TTTGGGTGGCACGCTTTCATAGCACTGAAGTAAAAACACAAAACACTATATAAAAAAAAATGACTACATGTGGCAAGATGTCTTCTTACATAAGTATTAGCACTGTCAGAAAATCAGAATGTGAGAAAGTAGTCATCTAATTTAGCAGCTGTCTTTGTCCATCAAAAGCAACTAACAACTGAGACAGGATACCACTCAGCAGGTAAGGGTTAAGGGCATATCTCAACTGACTCTGACTCTGACTGGGTCACTTTTGAGTACTTTTGTGCTGGGATTTCAACGTACAACCTTCCCGTCAGTAGATCAAAACCTTAACCACTGAGCCCACTAGTCTAACTTTAGTATTTACTGTATATATGTTCTTGTGAATATAATAATTACTTGTACCAAAGGACAAAAATGTCACTCACTATTTTTTTTTGCACTCCAATGCCCGGTCAATCAGAAAATCAGTCAGGTTTATGTAACCCTCTGCTTTTTCAGCCTATGAAAAACAATGGAAGAAGAGACAATGTATATAAATCCTTCTATTTTAGTTCGTGAAGGAAATAAATGTCTTTTGCAATATTATTTATGTAATTTAGTTATGCTAATGGGTGCACTCACAATTTGGTTGTTGTACCAATACAGTGAGGTTTTCTTCAGAACAAACCAGTACTTCTTCCACTTAATGCCCAGGAACCCTTTCCCCTCGTTCTTTCTGTAGAGCCAGCCCTGGTGGTCCACTGGGTCCAGGTCCTTCACGGAAACCCTCCTCCTGCTCATTGTTGCATTGTCTGTTTAAAACAAATCCTTTTAAACAATGGTTTTATACATTAATATTGCATAGCTGTGCAGGTTTTGCAACTGTGATTCCTGGCCTACCTCGAGTCTTCTTCTTAGATTTGTGCCTGAGGGACACCTAAAAATAGATGCCCATATTAACAGAGAAAGGAGATACAGTAATATATACGTTATACAGTGCATTCAGAAAGTATTCAGACCCCTTCATTTTTTTTCACATTTTGTTACATTGCAGCCTTATTCTAAAATGCTTTAAATTATTATGTTTTTCAACTTTGCAAATATATTAAAAAGAAAAAATGGAAATATCACATTGACCTAAGTATTCAAACCATTTGCTATGACACTTGAAATTTAGCTCAGGTGCATTCCATTTCTCTGGATCATCTCTGAGAAGTTTCTACACTTTTATTGGAGTCCACCTGTGTTGAGGCACAGATCTGGGGAAGACTACAAAAAATTTCTGTTGCACTGAATGTTCCCAAGAGCATAGTTGCCTCCATAATTCTTAAATGGAAGAAGTTTGGAACAACCAGGACTCTTCCTAGAGCTGGCCGCCCAGCCAAACTGAGCAATCGGGGAGAAGGGCCTTGGTAAGAGAGGTGACCAAGAATCCGATGGTCACTCAGTTTGAGCTCCAGAGATCATGTGTAGAGATTGGAGAAACTTGCAGAAGGTCAATCATCACTGCAACACTCCATTGATCTGGGCTTTATGGCTTTTATCTCCTCAGTGCAAGACACATGAAAGCATGAAAGCATGAAATCATAAAATTTGATTTTTTTTTTTTTTTGCAAATTCCAAGTGAGCTTTCATGTGTCTTGCACTGAGAAGTGGCTTCCATCTGGACACTCTGCCATAAACCCCAGATCGGTGGAGTGTTGCAGTGATGGTAGACCTTCTGCAAGTCTCTCCCATCTCCACACATGATCTCTGGAGCTCAAACTGAGCAAATTGAGCAATCAGGGGAGAAGGGCCTTGGTAAGAGAGGTGACCAAGAACCCAACAGTCACTCTGGTTGAGCTCCAGAGATCATGTGTGGAGATACTCTAGGAAGAGTCCTGGCTGTTCCGAAGTTCTTCCATTTAAAACTTATGGAGGCCACTGTGCCCTTGGGAACCTTCAATGCAGCAGAAATTTTTTGCAGCCTTCCCCAGATCTGTGCCTCGACACAATCCTGTCTCTGAGCTCTGCAGGCAGGTCCTTTGACCTCATGACTTGGTTTTAGCTCTGATGCATTTTCAGCTGTTAGACCTTTATATAGACAGGTGTGTACCTTTCCAAATCATGTCCAATAAATTGAATTTGCCACAGATGGACTCCAATCAAAGTGTAGAATCCAGAGATTATTAACATTATCCAGAGAAATGGAATGCACCTGAGCTAAATTTCAAGTGTCATAGAAAAGCATCCAAATACTTACATCAATGTGATATTTCAGTTTTTCTTTTTAATAAATTTGCAAAGTTATCACAAATCTGGCTTTTGCTTTGGCATTATGTGTGCAGTGTAGATGTTGTTGAATGCACTGTATATCATCAGAACAACCACAGTACACATTCATGTTTTTTTCAAGACTTATTGGTACTGAGTACTTTTTTTTTTTTTCACATTTTTATTGTCGGTACTGAGAAAACAATACTAAACAAGACACATGAATAATGGTAGAGTACTTACAGGGTTGTATTCATCAACATCCATTCGAGGGGCTAGCGAGATGGGGAAAGAGGCCTGAAACATAACCACATTCAGCAACTTAACTAAAAGTAATGACAAAATCACAAAAACTACTAGTCAGTAAGATTAATCCACATGAACTGAAGAACTGAAATGTGAAACTCAGCTGAAACCTCAAACATACTTCTGTCAGGGAAGTGGTGGGAAGTGACATCACGTACAGATAGCGACACTGAAAAAAACGCACCAAACAAACTACACTACAATAAAACAGGAGTGATTAACTAACCTCTATTTATACATTTTTGCAAGCATAGATTAGTGCAATTTGGTGCTCTAATGACATTTGCTGCCTCAAAATTATGACCAAGCTAAAGTACTTTTTAACATATAAGCAGCTTTTATTTGAAAAAGTCAGTGTTATTACACAAGCAGTGTATAATACAGTTTTACAGTGATCATGATAACTAAGTCTACTTCCTGAATGTGCATATGTACTTTTAAGGACTATGTCTATATTTAAGACAGTGTTTCCCAACACCACCCTCAGACCTTTCTAGCTGGTTCATATTCTTTTTCTATAACTTCCCAATGCTGGTGAATTACGAATGCTGAATTCATGGTTAAGGCGCGGCAGGAGATGGGAGCCATCAAAATAAACACTACTTTGCTTTCCTGAGGGATGAGTTGAGAAATATTAAAGAAAAGGCAAATATCTGAATCTTATCTAGGATACTAGGCTTGACAGGCTGTATTCGTTAATGCTACTGGAAAATGCAAGCTAAATGAAGAGAGGTATTACTCAATTTCCTCAACTTGTTCCAGTTCCTCCTTTCTGGTCTAACATACAATTCAGTTCAAGGGTAAACAAGCACTTCAGATCAGAATTAAACAATGATCTCATATGGCAAGTCTAATATGTTATTGCTGTAGCAAAACTCAAGAGATTGAATGTTCTTAACAGACACCACAGTATTTCAGTATATTATTATTATTATTATTATTATTATTATTATTAT